TCTCAAATGCTATCAGTCATTTTGATATTACAGTGCGCAATATAATAAATTATTTTTGGTGTATTGATATGCTCTATTGATAGTCGAAGCAGGGAAATTTAAGTTAGAAGACTGAGTTGAATAATACCTAAAACAGCTAAAAGCACTCTTCAAAAATGTGTCTCAGCGGTTTCAAAGTTATTTTCAGCATCTTGCATTTGTGCTTGAGCGTGACACTACTCAGCGTGTGTTTCCAAGCCCACCCACACACGTTCGCCTCTGCGTTTTCCCCATGATTGCTGTCTCACACATTGTTTCAAGCAGCTTGTCTGATTCCTGCTGGTTATCTGTCCTCCCACCCCACCAGTCAGTTCACTCTGTAACCTATATCACATAGACTACTGCCTAATACAACCTGAACACACACTGGGCGAGGTGGGGGTGGAATGACAGCTTTTTCTTCCTTGCAGTTTCCACACCCAACACTGCCCTTTATTATAATTATAATATATACTGACATAGCTTTAGCTGATGTTATTAGGTATTTAAGACAAGTGAGCAATATTTTAGTTAAAGATGTTTCTCTAAGTCAAAAGGGGTGGAATAAAAAAATAAAAAATAAAAAATTGGAAGCATCATTCCCAATGCTGAATTTTCCAGTGTCACTGCCTCTCATCCACGCATGAGTGAAGTCATAGTGTGAAGAGGAAATTTTATCATGAGCTGAGACTGATGATAAGGTTATTTGCAAACACCCAGACAGATGGACTCACTTTTTTAAAATGGAGTGTGTGTGTGTGACAGTGTGTGCATAAATGAAAGGGTTTGAGAGGGCTGGCATCTTTCAAATGGAGGCATGACAGAACTGGATAGGGCAAGAATGGGGTGAAATTATGTGTGGAGGAAATAGATGATGAGAAGTCATTTTTTTGTCTTTTTCATTCTTCATCATTCGTCATTGTTTTCAATATTGCTTGCAAACACCCAGACAGATGGACTCACTTTTTTAAAATGGAGTGTGTGTGTGACAGTGTGTGCATAAATGAAAGGGTTTGAGAGGGCTGGCATCTTTCAAATGGAGGCATGACAGAACTGGATAGGGCAAGAATGGGGTGAAATTATGTGTGGAGGAAATAGATGATGAGAAGTCATTTTTTTGTCTTTTTCATTCTTCATCATTCGTCATTGTTTTCAATATTGATTAGAACCATTAATAATAACTGAGCACCAATAATAATTCATAATAATTGAGCACCATTTCAGCAAAGTTTTCAGTGGTGTACAATATCTTGGTCTGTACAATATATGAAATGCCTTGTGTATTGTTTTCTACAAAAGAAAAGCCAGAAAGACAAACACAGTAGTCTGTGATATAGCTATAGGCTAAAACACACTGTATCATGTGAACTTCTCTCAGTGTGTCACGCTTAGGTCCATGCCATGTGGAATGGCCATTAGTCCTGCAGCCAATCTCCTTGCCCACAGCATGCCCTTTCTGCTTATATATGTGCAGCTTCACAGGGGCTTATCCAGGAGGAGAAGAGAGGATGGAGCAGTAACATGTTGATGTGAGGACGACACACTTGATAAACAGCCATGAGCTTAAAAAAGGACATTGAAGAGTGCCAAAAGACACAGAGAGAGAAAGTGGGAGCATGCATGTTTGCCATGCACAACATATACTAAAGCTTTAATGGATTATAGCTAACTATAGATTATAGTTACTACTAATTTTAGCATCTCAATTATTTGATTTATTGTCAGTCTCATCTTCTTAATTCTACAAACATATACAGGGAATACATATAAAAGCATCCATACATTGCATGTATTGACTGCAAACATGTATTCAGCCACACTGTTTTCAGAAAACTGTGTTTAGTACATACCTGGGAAAATGTTATATATAAGCATAAATTGCTTATGAAGGGAATTATATCCATACTGATTAAAGTTTAAATATGCTTGTGAAGTGATTAGAAGTTACTTGTTACCTGAGCCTGAATGATTACAAGTGGGTTATGGTTATCTTCACCTTTCTTTAGAAAAACACATTGTCGTTTTTTCATCATGAAATATTTAATTTTCCATTTATCACTTCAGTGAGCTCAATTTTTATATTTGCAATTTAACTCTGAAAGACCTTCCAGCCTGGGATCTTGTTATAGCAGCATGGGCTGAGGGGAATGAAACTGGGACATGGCGGTTGGGGAGATGTAAGAGATGATGATTAATGTGTTGCTTATGGCCTGTGCTGAAGGGAGGGGAGGAAACAGAACATTTCCAAAATTCAATCAGATTCCTGTGAGCAGTATTAGTAGATTCATTGCCATTGTCTGTCTGTCTATCTATCTATCTATCTATCTATCTATCTATCTATCTATCTATCTAGCTATCTATCTATCTATCTATCTATCTATCTATCTATCTATCTATCTATCTATCTATCTATCTATCTATCTATCTATCTATCTATCTATCTATCTATCTATCTATCTATCTATCTATCTATCTATCTATCTATCTATCTATCTATCTATCTATCTATCTATCTATCTATCTATCTATCTATCTATCATCTATCTATCTAGCTACACTGAACAAAATTATAAACGCAACACTTTTGTTTCTGCCCCTATTTTTCATGAGCTGAACTCAAAAGATCTAAGACTTTTTCTATGTACACAAAAGGCCTATTTCTCTCAAATATTGTTCACAAATCTGTCTAAATCTGTGTTAGTGAGCACTTCTCCTTTACCGAGATAATCCATCCACCTCACAGGTGTGTCATATTTCAAGATGCTGATTAGACAGCATGATTATTGCACAGGTGTGCCTTAGGCTGGCCACAATAAAAGGCCACTCTAAAATGTGCTTCAGTTATGGCATCTGTTGCTTAAAATTAACAAGTTCTTTCATGTCAGGTGGATTCTGAGTGACAGTTAATGTTTTTATCATTCATCAGCTGGAAAAAATAAATGTTCTAAAAGTGATTCCAACAATGTTGTTCCTCTCGTGTCCTTATCATTATATCTGTAGTGTGGACTTCCCTATTCTCATAGAATAAAAATTATTATTAAAGTTATAGTTATCGCCCTTGGTGTGAACAGCATTTAAAGGCTTCCAAAGCCAGAGCTGTTCCATTCAATTAATAACTTTTTTAATCTAATTTTTAAATCCTTCATAAGTCTAAATAAGCCTACCTAAACACCACAATGACCTCACAGTATGTTATGGGTAGCAAAGTGTTAAGGTAATTCCTATAGAAATATTTGCTCTAGAACTACCCTCAACTTGCTAGTTTCACTGTATCCAAGGCGGGTTGTTCGTAAAGAGAAGAAACAAACATGTTTTGTCTTTAAAGTGAAGAATAATTAGTGGTCTGCTTCTCACCACAGCATCCAAAAATTTGACACAGCACCTCAACTCTGGCCTGGTGTCGCAGAACTGCCGGAATAGCAAGCATCCGATTGGCTGCCTCTCACAAAGGCTGTTGTAGTCTTTCTCTGTGGAAATACAGCAACATGAAACAGAGTGACTAAGGGCTTTGGAAAGTTGGACACACACACACACACACACACACACACACACACAAATGAGTGCACGCATAGTTAAAAAAATAGTTTTAGGAGGTTGTTCAAAGCTATGTAATGCAAAATGTTCATTACATTTTAATTGCTTTTGTTTCATCATAGATGTGAAAATCCAGAGAAATAAAGAAACAATGCTGTATGTTAGGCTCATCAAATCAGGTCAGTTTTCATGTCATTTGCTTTGAAGAGGTGAGAGGGACCTCTCCATGGTCCTGAAATCAATGCAACCTCTCAGATGTGGACACAATTTAGGAAGCCCAGTACTGGCCGTAGCGAGTGAGGTGGATGGTGTTAATGACTCAAGGGCCGACAGATTCAATGGGGCTTGCAAAAATTAAACCTTTCTTTCTCTCTTTAGTAGGTTATTTAAAGTTGTAAAATTCAATTTAAACAAAAACATCTTGAATACAGCTTTCTGTGATGAACACATTTTCAGTATGAGCTTTTAGCATTTTTTTATATTTTTGCTGGGCTTAAAAACAAAAATGACTAGGTGGTTTAACTGCCCATAGCTTGTAAGCAGTTATGGCATAAGCTTGGCACAATTATTATTATTTATTTTAAATGCAGTGAAGCATTTTTTTTAATGCTATTGATATTTGAAAAACTTTTGTCAGCCAAATCAAAGTCAGTGTGGTGTAACCAACATGCAGGAAGTAATTTTGTTGTCATGTGACTAGATAAGAAAACAGACAAGACCCCTTTAGACTTTCGTGAAAAAGTACAAACTTCATGACTCAATAATTACCCTGAAAAATGTGTTTGAAAATGAACATTTTTGCATGATGGCACTTGATATTTTTGTATTCCAAAATGTATTGGAAACGGTGTAAAAAAAAAAAACTCTACTAAAACGAATACAAGAATTAGAAACACCTGTGTTTTAAAGTAGTTATTTGAAATGATTTCTGATTTTAATCACCTCCGCGCCCCCTACGTGCCTCATTATTATTCGTCACCGGTTACCGTGTAGGCTATGTGTGCAGTGTTCCTGTATGTGAAGAACTCATAGGAAGGCGCGCGACTAGAGAGAGAGAGAGAGAGAGAGAGAGAGAGAGAGAGCGAGAGTGTGACAATGAACATTTTTGCATGATGGCACTTGATATTTTTGTATTCCAAAATGTATTGGAAACGGTGTAAAAAAAAAAAACTCTACTAAAACGAATACAAGAATTAGAAACACCTGTGTTTTAAAGTAGTTATTTGAAATGATTTCTGATTTTAATCACCTCCGCGCCCCCTACGTGCCTCATTATTATTCGTCACCGGTTACCGTGTAGGCTATGTGTGCAGTGTTCCTGTATGTGAAGAACTCATAGGAAGGCGCGCGACTAGAGAGAGAGAGAGAGAGAGAGAGAGAGAGAGAGAGAGAGAGAGTTCTGCATTATTCCTCCAGAAGCGGGACTTAGGCAGGAGTCTGCGATAGAGGAACCACATGCAGACAGCAGCCGCGCTCTTTCTCCAGCAACGCCTCAACATGTTACGGATTTGATTCACCACTGTATAAACGACAAATATTTCCTTCATACAGTGGGTGAACACACACTGTCGTGGAGATGCAACAGTTTAAGAATGTATCGATTTGTCTCATTTCCCTTTTATGCGGGTTGACAACTGGAGGGTCTCCAAGTGTTCAAATTGGTATGTTTAGTGTGGACGTCATTTTTGTTAAATTAACGTTTTAAATTATGTGAACGGTATAATTTTAACATATATTTTGTGTATGTCGTGCAGGGGGCTTGTTTCCGAGGGGAGCTGATCAGGAGTACAGCGCGTTTCGGATCGGAATGGTTCAGTTCGGAACGGCTGAATTTAGACTGACGCCTCACATTGACAATCTGGAAGTAGCAAACAGTTTCGCTGTAACTAACTGCTGTAAGTTATGCCATCTTTTTAAAAAATAAATACACGTGATTGCATCGATTAGTTTATATTGAGGTTCGTTTTTATGCATTTTTTAACAAAAGCAGATTTTGACAGTTGGAATGAATAGTTTGAATGCTGAAGTTTTAGTGTGGTTATTGGTAGGAATTAGCGTATAGTGGGATGTGAAGTTGGTTTCCACAGTAACGGAGATGAGAACGAGCTCTCATCATCAGAAGCTGCTTAACCACTCTATTGTCTTTGGGTCATTTCCCCCGTTTTCGGTAAAGAAAATGCTATAAATACTATCGTTTTTGGTACAGGAACCATAGATTTTTGACATTATCAAGAATATCTTTTTTTTTTTTAATAATAATAAAAAAAAATAGAACATTATTTATTTATATTGTCTAATTTCATCAAGATTTTGACCAAGTTATGACCTTTCACCTTTGGCCTTTCAGTATTTTGTGCAGCTTTATATATTTATTTAATTATTTATTTTTATTTTTTGCCTCTCACACACACTATTTTCTATGTTTGGGTACAATGGGGCTAAAGACCACCTGGGATAATAGGCCTTTAAATTATGTAATTTTCTGCTAAAACACCCATAGCATTTTTTGAAACACCTGTAGTGCTTCAAGTAATTGTTTTGCATAAGTGGAATAGAATGGAATGTCCCGACAGATGTGCAAATTTGGCCCATATTGAGTGATTCACATACAATAGTGATATAATTGAATGAACAATATGTAATACAACATAAATAATATTCATTTTATTAATTAGTATATTCATTAAAATTCATTGAAACAAAGTAGCCTAAGCCTACAATGACAAGAAGCAACGGTTAAATATGAGTCAAGCTGAATCAAATTGACTGGGAAAGTAGTTTCAACTGAATGAGATGCAAAAGTGGTTATTTTAATTACTTTCAGTAGTCATTAATGCTGACAAAATGTATGCTATTAAACATCCAGACATGTAAAACTGTGGCACAATATTTTATTTTGTAGGATTTTTTGTGGTCTATCAGCATCATGAGGCTAGGTAACATACAGCTGATAACATATACAGTTGATAACACATGCATAAACATATTTGCTGTTGTTAATGTGGGTAGCCTGTTGAGCTAGAAATGGTCAGAAGTGTAAGAAGAAGAAATTTCCAATGCATGAGAAACCTCTTTTATTTATTTTTTTATTTTTATTTTTTTATTTTTTTTGGACCATCACTGCGTTAGATTTAATCAGCACAGAACTTTATGAGATGATCATGAATAAATGAAGCCTTTATTAAGTGGATCACTTATATTCAAGGATTTCATTTAGTTTTCAGTGGGCTGTTGCTAAGCAATATTTCAAAAAGGATTCTTGTTGAAGAAACTCTCTTTAAAAGGTTCCGTTAACATTTTTTTCCCCTTATGAGAACCACATGAGAACATTCTATACTATGATGGTCACGAATGTTTTAGTTTCCTATTCATTAAAGATGCATTTTTAAACTCATTCCTTCATAATGTAGCACTTATCATCCACTAGTTCATTTGCAATGTATGTTTATTGAAACACTGGAAAATGTTTAAGTGCCATTTAACTAGCCTACAGATGTGTTCCCTGTTTGTAAAGTACGCATCCCATGGGTCAATCTTTCATATGTAATCTATAATTTCCTATTTAAACTTACTTAAATACTCACCTCTCTCGAAATTTCTCATTTTCCATATTTATTTCCCAAGATGAGTGTTGTGTGTTAACAATTGGTCTTTCAGGCGTCATTCCCTTTATTTCTCATATATAAAAACCCCTAGATGGCACTATGCATTTACATGCACTGCTTTATCATTTCCATCTTTCCCATACAGTTTAGTGTCTCCTTTTGAAAGCAGCTTGGGAGAATGTATCCATCAGCCGTATTTAAGCTAGACCACATTCTGTGTCATTTGGACACACTTCCTACGTGGATGTCAGTCATGATGTGTTTTATTTAACATGAAGCATGTGAAGAACACAGCGAATGTTATGATCTATTATGCGATACAGATCAGACTAGGTCTTTGGTGTCTGGTAAAGACTTCACGGGTCTTGTTGGTTCAGAAAACATTTACTCTCTAAACCTGACATTTCCTCTGTGTTGTTGGTTAGGCATGAGTCAGAATGATCTTGTTACTGAAGTATGACAACTCCAGAACAGATACAGCGAATGGTTTGTGTTAAAAGGCTTTTCCAATGAGAAAACAACAAGACGTGGCACCTTGGTATGAGATGCAGCTAATAAGACTCTTCTTCTTTGAAACTATATAGCTTTTGGCAAGATGCTGTGTTTATACCAGCTTTTATCTTCAGATGAGAATCAACCCTCTCACAATATCTGATAACCTGAAAAGCACTGATGGCACTCGTACTATTGTATAAATACGGCTTGGTTGTTTGTCATTTCCCAACTTCAAATTGATATCCACTGAGTAATATGTTCTCGAGAAGTGTTGAAGTAACATATTTTATGTTAAGGTGCCATGATTAATGGTAGGTTAAGAGCTATCTATAACGATAATGTTATATATAGCAGGTTCTGATTTTACCATGATTGCTTGCTCACCTCTCTCAACAAACTAAAATATTCAAAACTACAAATAGGCTAGACTGAATGATAAAACACCCCAGCTTTTAAACATGAAAGCTTTGTGTTAGCACGGGGCCTCACAATCTAATTTAGTGGATTTATGAGTCATATTTATATGCATATATCTGAATCAAGAAAGCAGATGTGCTGGTCAGCTTTCCTTAGGCCTTCCATCTATCTGGAAGACATATCTGGAGCATGTTTGCTGACATTACACAAAATATAAAACAGATTAGTTATAGATAAATACGGTTAAAGAGTCTCCAGCTCCTTGGCATTTCTTAAAGATTAATTATCAAATTAATGGGATGAAAAGTGTATCTTCTAAAGCGCTAGCATAATCATCTTCAACTCACTATATTGTACATATTAGTAAATGCGTGTTATGTATTAGTCTCACATATTTATCTTAATAAAAAGTATATTTTCTGATTGATCATTTTGGATATCAAAATACTTAGACTAATCAATGTGAAATCAATTATGTGTGTTATGAGTAATTTTGTTTTCTGAGCAGTTTCTCAGGACATTTATTTGCATGTAAGCTGACAAAATTTAATTCGGGAGCATTGATCGATATCCACTGTGGTTTTGTCCCTGGTTTTGGAAGCACTTCCAGTGCTGGAACTCGCGTCAGTGCATTTGTGCTTCAATAAACGCTCTACCTAAGAAACATACAGACATAAATCCCCTAGAAATATCAGTATCCATAAATACAGTAAGGACCCTATCTATGCTGATATCTACTCGCACATCCCTCAATCTGGTTTGGGAGTGTGTGAAGTCTATCTAAATAAATTACGTGATCATGATCAATAGCTGCGTGTGTTTAAATCCTTGTCTCTCGTCAGTACATACACAGTTGTTCGACTATCCTCCGCTAACTGGGTGATTAGATCCCTTTTCAATTAAAAAGACCTGCTGTTTTTCCTACCTGACACAGTGGAGTTGTCAGGAGTGCTCGCTCTGATCCAGCTGTCACACAGCAGCCTGGGAAAGGCTTTAGTGCTACACTGCTGAGAAAAGGCACGGAACAGAAAAAGAGCATTAGAAACTGTGAATGATTTGAAGGCAGAGTCCAAAATAAACTTTATGCCACACCTGCCATTGCCAAGAAATGAGGACATTTACTTGTCATAAATATTTCTTACTGACCATGAAACTGTATTTAGCATATTATTTACTAAAAATATATACTTTTTTGTCATTATGACATACATATGGGTAAAATGGCACCAGTATGTATGACTCATCGTGATTTTGTTCCTCATATTTCCATTTTAGTGGCTTGATGTGAGGAATGTTTGACATTTGTATTGTCGCATGAAGTTCTGGAGAAAAAAAATAAACTTTTGGCTTAGCTAAACCTCATATTAGGGTGGTCCTTATTTTTGGACTTTTAAAATCTTCTGCTCTCACCCGCCCAGTAAACTCCCCTTCATGAGAAATGGAAACAAACCAAATTTAGCTGAGATTGGACTACGTTTGGGGTGTGCTTAACAAAATTGAAATTCTGTCTTAATGGCCATAACAGCACGTAATTAATAATTATACAAGACCATTAGTAAACTGTGAATTAGAATTAGCCACTAAGAACACAGAAAAATGTTGTTAGACTGACAGGTAGCGCCGTTGCGCTTCAGCTGTCCCGAGTTCGAGTCCCAGCTCACGGACCTTTCCCGATCCCGTCCTTCTCTCTCTCTCCCACTTTGCTTCCTGTCCACTTACTGTCCTATCGAAAGAAAGGCATCAAACACCAAAAACGAAATCTTAAAAAAAAAAAAAAGCTGAATTACAACGCTGCTGTTGAGAACTGATCTTTGAAAAATTGCGAACTGATCTAGATCGTGATGAGAATCCGACATGTCCTTCAGTCGCAAAGTTCTTGCACACGTAGAAGCAGAATATTAAAAAGTGAAATTACTGTACTGGTGAAGAAAGTGAACTTTGAACAAAACTGAGATCTGTTGATCTGTAGATATTATGATGATCCGACAAGTCCTTCAACCACAGTAATCTTGAGGAGCCTGGAAACAGATTTCGGTGCTCTCTGACAATCTGCATAATGTCCTGTGTTTGTTCTTCCTCATTTGGTCTTTGAGAGGAGTCCGTTGTACTCTTTGAAAAGTGCAACACCTCTTTCTTGCATTTGCATTGTTTGCCCAGGAACCAGAATATTCATTTAAGAAGTCCTGGTGGAGATCAAGAATAACTAGATAGTAAAGTTTGTAGACAAACTTTAAGTTGGCTTGAAAAAGCCTAGCTAGAAAGTTTGAAAAGCTGTTTGTTAATTGTCGTGACATGTTGCCAAGTATGGTGGTAACACATACTCAGAATTTGTGCTCTGCATTTAATCCATCCAAGTGTACACACACAGCAATGAGTAG